TTTATGCAAAATAAATAAGCACAAAATTAAGCAAATTAAAGTTAATTTCCAAATATGATATCATATTTTGTGTTGCGTCAAAATATAAATTGATGTGACACTAAAATTATTGATCTGAAACCTGATCTGGTTTGATCTGATCTGTTTGGAGCCTTAAACGGGGGTTGGCCGTGTGGTTTGTGGCCTAGTACTAGGCCCTATAAATTATTTTTTTTTGAAATAATCGAATTTCAATTTAATCCCTTAAACTGTCCACATTTTTGAATAAGGAAATTTCGAAAATTTTATTGGTAATTTACAAACTTCCACCAATCAAAATTAACCAAATCGCACAATCAAAAATTTTATTATGAATATATCAATTTTTAAAGTAATGATCAACACGGGCATGGTGGACTTTTTACAGTTTTACAAAACCCATAATAATAATGGCCGAATTTCTATATATATATCAATGTATAAAATCCCAAATATCATTCATTAATTAGAAAGCATGATGATCAGAAAATTTTTCTATATAAAAAAATTTAATTGTACAAATTTGTATGATAGCCAGTTTAAGGGATAATAATAATAATAATAATGACATAGCAAAAATCAGAAAACATGAAAATTTTGCATGCATATTCTACAGGATCTAGGCTACAAGCTATATATACTTATTATGTGTGCTTTCGCATAATTGATTCTCTGACATTTGCTGTAGTGTACCATTTGTTGATCTAATAAAATCTATTTTAAAACAAATAAACAAAAGGATAGATTTATTATTTATCAAAAAAAGTATATAAATATGGATTTGAAATATTTTGAAAAAAGAAAAGGAACAAATGATAAATTTTTTGATCCATTGATAAAAAAATGAATGCAAAGATGGGGTGATTTACAAAATAATAACTAAAATTAAAACAAGAATATCGAGACATGTTTCCAAATATAATTAGATAAATTGCATATACAATCAATCCTTTTTTCAAGTTTACCATTTAAAGAGGATTCTTAAAACACCTAATTATAATAGAATTGTTTGTTAAATAAATTGTTACAAGTATGGAAATATATATGATAACGGTAATTAAACCCAACTTTTCGCAATTTATTTTTGACAATAATAGTCATAGTAATAGTAATAGTTGGATTTAAACCGGTTATTCAAAGTATAAACAATTCCTTACACAATAAACCCAACAACTACAATGATTAATATTGATCATCGCAGAAATTTTCCAAAAATTAAAAAAAATTTGTTACACGATTCAAGTTCGGTTTATGATAATGATTTACAATTATAATTACTAAATTAGTATTGGCATTGTGTGTTGTTACTATTCGTGTGCAGATATTTACTATGGTGCGCCGCATCTAAAGACATCAAAAAAAATTGCAAATCTTTAAACCCTGATAACTTTGGAAATATTTGTTGGCCCATAAAAAACTCTCTATTTTTGCAA